CTCTGTGTCTCACAATGCTTTGCAAGTTCCTTAAATAGCCACCATTTCTGTCTTTGAATCTCTGAGATGTGTGCCGGAGACTACGGCTTTTAGTGGAACTCCAGAATGAACTAAGACAGCAGCAGTTTTTAGGACTTGCTCTTTTCAGATACAGCAAAAAAAAAAATGTTAAGGGTAGTCACATCATTCATTCACTGTTACAATAACTAAGGAGAGATAAAAAATCTCTGGCATCCAAGAACTTGCGGGGTTTCTTCCTTCATCTAACAATGACATTTTCTCTCATTGCTCCATTATGTCTTGGCCAAATTAGCTAACCTTTATGCCTCCGTTACTGCACATGTCAAATGTGGCTACTACTACACACCTACATCAGCAGAGTGTTGCAGGAAGTAATTGATTCATATTCATTAACCCCTTTGAGGGTGTAAAGCGCTCAGCATTATTGTTACAGCTGCAGAGTTGGGTAGATTCTTGGTTTTAGAATCAAGAACTGTCTACAGTACTAAAAGAATAAATGAAATATGCAACTAGCCTCCTTTTTGCAACAGCTATAAGCTCTTCTGAAATTGTTTTTACTAATTTATTCCCAAAACTTTTTGGCGGAATCGCTCAGGAATTCCAGCACATGAACACCCAGCCATTTCTTTACAGAGTGTTAATTTTTGCCTGGAGTGTGGAGGCTGACATTCTTCACACTCGGAGTATGTAGGTCACCGAGCGATGCTTGTCTTATATTGCAAACAAACAACAAAAACTATGGTAAAAGCATGGTATTTATGTTTTAAAGTCAAACAACTGAAAATGAGGCCATGCCTGATTAAGGCTCACCACTATAACCTTGATTCTGTCCTCTTGTGCATCTGTCTTGTGCCCTGAATGAGGCAGGAGTCCTGTGGGGGAAAAATAGCATGTGTGTGTGTTATTTAAAAAACTATATTAGAATGTATATGCATAAGGGGGCAATGCAAAACATCTGACATTTGAGTTCTTGACTTTACAAGCTAACTAATATTATTTCAGGCAGAGTTTTGTAGATCAGTTCTAAGGTGTTTTTTTAAAAGGCAAGAGGTAAAAGTCCATCGTGCCGAATGGTAACAGTTTCCCTAGCCTCATGATGCAGCAGCAGCAGCATGTGAACCTGAACCTTCCTCACAGACTGCTACTGCTTGAGATGTAGGATTCAAAACATTAGGTAGCCGTAGGAGCATGATGTTATCCCAGAGTGGGATGATGGTTTCATAAGACCAGGGGTAGGTCTTGGGTATGTGGGAAGCTAAGCCCAGTTCTCACTCTTATTTTGTCCCTGCAGCACTGGGGGTCAGCTTTAGCACTTGTGATGCCCCCAGAGGTGGGTTTGGGTCAGTCCAGTCCAGCTCAACCTTCTTACTCACACGATTGCTCCAGCATGTCGTCCCAACAGAGCTTTATCTCTGCTCATGCTGCTGCCTTGTCACTTTGGAATGATGGTGTTCACTTACTAATTAGGCACACAACCAAGAGCTGCTTGAGGGACACGAGCAAGAGAAGGAAAATGGTGCTTTTTTTAACAGCTTATAACTCAACAAAAGATTAATAGAAAAAAAGGACTACTGTAGCTTGAGGACATTCTTCCCTGGAGAACATTAAAGGGCTGCTGCAAACAATGGAATTGTAAACACTTCTCAAAGAAAAGATGCCCAGAAATGGAAACTTAGGCTGATGAAATGTATGAGACAAAAATGCATCATTGGGACGGTGTGACAAGTCATCTCACTGTGGGTGGATGTTGTGGTGTTTCTGAAACAGGGAGGAAGCAGATTGTCCCTGAATGTCGATAACTTCAGGATCAGAAATCCATTTGAGATTATTTTACTGAGGAGCCATTATTGTTGAAAAGGGACATTACTCATCCCCTGCCCCTCCCCCCAAACCGCCACATCTGTGTAGGAACACGCATTTGTACTTTGGTGCTGGTGAAAGCCTCCCAAATGGAAGCTGCCAAAAGCCTGCCTCTGAAACACAGCATTCGGGGCAAGTTGTGGAGGGAGAGTTTATTCCAAAAGCTTGTCGAGGAGGGTTTTGTGGGTTAGCACACAGACCTTGGACTGACAGGCATGCAGCTCTCCCAGGACTCATCTGAAAGGGGATAATGAGTGTTTGCAGAGAGCTGTGGCTTAGGAGGCTTTGGAGTCCCATGGGATGATAGACATGCTGCTTTGAGCCTAAACCTTCCTTTGATAGGAGTTTGTTCCTTTCACTCACTCTGAGCATGCAAGGGCACAGATAAAGAAATCATAAGGGGAAAATACTGCTGAAAAAGTTACTCACTGCCAGGCTGACCTTTTGAACACAAAGAAAATAGAACCGGCTGAGACATGAACCAGCTCTCTGTACCTGTGGGGTGCCATCAAATGGAAAAACAGTCCAGTCAGATGTAGGACGCACAACCAAATTGAGTACTGCTGGAAGCAAAGAGGTTGCGCCATGGCTTCAGTTTGATGCAACATCCATTTGAATAACTATTAAACTATAATTAGGCTACGTCTACACTGGCAGCTTCTTGCGCAAGAACGGTTTTGCGGAAGAATTCTTGTGCAAAAAATCTTCCACAAGAGTGCGTCTACACTGGCATGTGCTTTTGCGCAAGAGATATGCTTTTGAGCAAGGGCATCCATGGCAGTGTGGATGCTCTCTTGCGCAAGAAAGTTCTGATGGCCATTTTAACCATAGGGGCTTCTTGCGCAAGAAATTCATGTTGCCTGTCTACACTACCCTCTTGTGGAAGAGCTCTTGCTCAAGAAGGCTTATTCCTCGTAGGGAGAGGAATAACTCTTCTGGAAGAAACCCTGTTTTACAATGCTATACTGTAAATTTACTTGCGCAAGATCGCGTGTGCAGTGTAGACAGCAGGCAAGTTTTTGCTCAAGAACGGCTGTTCTTGTGCAAGAAGCTGCCAATGTAGACATAACCTAATGGTATTTTCCTACCCTGTGATCCAGAGACTAGCAGTGGCCTGCAAAGCATTTGTATTCCACAGTGAGGTGGTAGCACAAGGTGCTGAGTCTCCTCACATTAAAAGCATATAAAAAGACAGGGATTGAAACCCTGGACTTACTGAAATCCAGGGGGATTTTTCCATTGACTTCAACGGGGCCAGGATTTCACCAATGCTCATTAAAAAATCTCACAAGTTTCCAAAACATTACATGAAAGATGTAAGATGCATGCCACCTGTTAATACGGGCCATTGCTTGTTGACTGCTTAAAATTCACACTGGTGTTTCAGCGGGAGAAACAGTTCATTTCCCCTCCTAAACTCTGTTATGCAAAACACTGCTGGTGAGAAGAGCTGCCTTTTTCGAGAAGTCGGAGTGAGACCTGTGTACACATGGGCTACGTGTAGACTGGCATGATTTTCCGGAAATGTTTTCAACGGAAAAGTTTTACGTTAAAAGCATTTTCGGAAAAGAGCGTCTAGATTGGCACTTTTTGCGGAAAAGCGTCCGTGGCCAATCTAGACGCGCTTTTCCGCAAAAAAGCCCCGATCGCCATTTTCGCAATCGGGGCTTTTTTGCAGAAAACAAATCTCTGCTGTCTACACTGGCCCTTTTGCGCAAAAGTTTTTCGGAAAAAGACTTGCCCGAACGGGAGCAGCATAGTATTTCCGCAAAAGCTCTGACAATCTTACATGAGATCGTCAGTGCTTTTGCGGAAATTCAAGCGGCCAGTGTAGACAGCTGGCAAGTTTTTCCGCAAAAGCAGATGATTTTGTGGAAAAACTTGCCAGTCTAGACACAGCCATGGTGAATACAACATTTAAGGAGCATAGTGAATGAGAGGCACCTTTTAATATAAATCTAAAGTGCTGCGGAACAGGATTACTTGATCCTCAGTAAGTAAGCCATAGGACTGAGAACTGGATAGCTCAGAATCAGGAAAACATGGGTGTACACTTGGCTCCTGTGCTGAATCTGCCTTGGTAATAATTCTTCATCATGAAGAAATTGTGAGATGATGAGCGAGAGCTCTGGGACCAAACAATTAGCCTGACAGCTGAGGAAATTGCTGAGGAAACTGCAAAAGTATTTTCCCTCAAATCCCTCCTCTTCTTCCTTCCCCAGTCCTGCAGTGCACCATACCCCAACAATCCATCGCACGGTTGCACTGAACCCCAGTGACTGATTTAATCTTGGCTCGCTGCTAAAGCTCGTTCCTTAGATGGGGTGGTTTTAGACAGTCAGGGGACCAATACCACTCATCTCACTCTTCGTGGGCAGCCATCTGTCTGCAGTTGCACAAAAGAATCACTGACAAGGAGTCCTGTGGCACCTTATAGTCTAGAAGGTGCCACAGGACTCCTTCTCGCTTTTGCAGATCCAGACTACCACGGCTACCCCTCTGATAAAAGAATCACTCTAACCCTTAGGAGCCAGCACATTCTAAAGCATTCCCCCCGGGCAGCAAGAAATACACCCCTTTGTTGACTCAGTTTCAACAAAGTCGAGGCCAGCTCCAAAGATTTCTCCCTGCCTCAGGAGCAGTCAGCGCCAATAAAAGGCCCCATCTTGCAAGTGTAAGGGGACTGTTAGCCCCTTACTAAAACTCTGTGGGAGTTTTTGGTTTGCCAGCTCACAGTATCAAAAGGGGAAGGGTCCATGAGACTGACAGACCCCAGAGACAATGGAAATCAGCCAACACTCCAGCTCAGCCTGATTGACAGGTTGGACAGGCCAGTGAGGAAAGCAAGAGGCCAGGCCCCGTCCTCCCTCTGAGCTGGGATTGTTCTGGTTCTCTGAGCAAGGAGAGAGCTGAGAGACAGCTAAGAGCAGTGTAAGCTGTGTGCAGAAGAAGTCCTGCAGCAACAGAATCAGACACAGACAGCCCAAGGAGTGCAAGCTGTGTGGAGAGGCAGTTTTGCAGCAACAGAGCCAAGGAGCACACACAGCTCAAGGAGCACAGACCCTGTGTTGAGCAGCAGACTGGCAGTGCTCAGAGAAGCCAAAAGGGACAGAGAAGCAACGCAAGGAGCTGGAGACTGACAAGGCAGCACAGCCTGCAGCTGGGTGTGGTGAGCAGCTGGGACCAGCAAAGTTTGGGGAGAGGCTCTGGGCAGGGAGATATCACCAGCCAAGAGGCCCAGCAGGCCAGACTGGGAGAGGGGTCTGGCCACTTAGAGCTTGAGGCTGTGTGGTCACTGCCAGAGCAAGCGTGTCCAGCCTGCAGCCCCCCTTGCAGCACATCCAGGGCCTCTAAGGGGCCTATAAGGAAGAGACTGTGGACTGTCCTTACACTCTGCAGGCTGCTGTTTTGATGTCCCTGTGCTACAGAGCAGGGCTGTGTGTTCTCATTTAACCATTCTCCTTTTTTTCTTATTCTTTTCTCTTTAATCAGTTGGGCTGTGTCTACATTGGCATGAATTTCCGGAAATGCTTAAAACAGAATAGTTTTCGTTATAAGTATTTCCGGAAAAAGAGCGTCTACATTGGCAGGCTGCTTTTCCGGAAAAGCATCTGTGCCCAATGTAGACGCGCTTTTCCGGAAAAGAGCCCCGATCATCATTTTCGCGATCGGAGCTTTTTTCCGGAAAAGACTACTGGGCTGTCTACACTGGCCCTTTTCTGGAACAGTGTTCCGGAATAAGGACTTATGCCCGAGCGGGAGCAGTGTAGCTTTTCCGGAATAGCGGCTGATTTTGTACAGTAGAGCATCGTTGCTTTTCCGGAAATTCAAAAAAGTGGCTGAATTTCCAGAATAGACAGTGTAGAGACAGCCTTCATGTTTAATAAATTGTATTTGCTTTGAGCCTTATGAAATGATCACTGGGCCAAGAAAGCATGTAGTGTGAAGAGAGCACCTCGGAGTGGGGACACCCTAACTCCTGCCCCTAGTGACTACAAGGTCGGGGATTAAGCCCCAGGAAACCTGGGCCTAGCCTTGTTGGGGTTTCGAGGACTCTGCTACTCAGGAGAGTGGAGGGGGAGCCCTCAGGATCAGGGAAGCCGTGGGGTAAAGGAAGTGGGAGCAGGGACTCAGATCCTTTCGCTGGTCCATTTCACCGGGGTGGTATAGAAGCCAGGAAAGTTCCCCACAATAGCGGGACCATTCCCCCGCTTACACAAGGAACTGAGTGCCCTCAATTTCCAATGGAAATAAAGATGCTCAGCACTTCACAGGACTGGGTCAAATCCCAGGGAAACCCTGCCCACTCCACATCTCAGAGGTATTATGCCACTGGGCTGTCAACAGACAAATCCAAAGCCCTGAACTCCCATGGACTTGTGCCTAAATAAGGACCACCGCCTGCTCTTGAAAGGTCCTGGGCTCCTGTGATTCCCATCTACTCCAGCTGGAGCTGAGTGCTCTGCAGATATTCAGATTCCCCTCGGGGGACCTGGCCCTGGGTTAGAAGGCAGGACTTCACCCAACATAACTAGAATACAAAAGGACGGGCAGGGCCGCTGCCTGGAATGACTTATTGGTAAGGCTTGGCACAGTGCATTTATCCTTCCAGCAAGGACAAAACAAAGCCGTCTTAGCTCATCCTTTGAATCAGGCGCCTTGTTTTTGAGCATGAGTATGACAAGGAAAGAATTTATGCTAGCAGACACTCCCAGGCCTTCATTTAGTCAGGCTCTAACTCCCCTCCCAGCATATGCTGCTGATCCATATACTAGAGGGATCTCTTGCACCTTCCATGTCACACTTTCAAAAGCCAGATGAGGCCTGGCCTGGCCAGTCTTCTTGGTTAGGCTGAAAACAAATTTTAATGTCTTTATTTTATTGGCTTTTCTATGGTACTCAGAACTGGAGAATCCGCCCATGTCACAAACAGCAGGAAATTCAGCCTCACAGGACCCAGGCAAGGTAGGAAAATCTCTAATCCCAGCTTGGGGATGGGGAAAGTGAGGCGTGGCACCTTCATCTCGCTGATTTCAACTAGAGTTGTTAGTGCCCAGAGCCTCTTAAAATCAGACTCCTGATGTCTTTTTGGGCAAATAAAACCTGAGGCACTCAGGCCAAAAATTTCAAAAAGGGCCACTGAGTCTAAGTGACTTGCCTAAGAAGTCTGTGGTAGAAGGGGTGCAACACAAACCCTAGGGTTCCAGTCCACAAAAACATCCTGCCAGGAAAAAATCTGTATAGCCATAGCTAACCTGTATTACGGAAACAACTAATCTACCATCTCTCTCTCTCTCTCTCTCTCTCTCTCTCTCTCTCTCTCTCTCTCTCTCTCTCTCTCACACACACACACACACACACACACACACACACACACACACTGAACAAGAACCCCATAGAAATTTTGAGAGGATGCTTCAGTCTGTAACTGAACTAAGCACAGGCACTAAATCTGGCCCTTCTCTTTTCCTGGCAGTTAGCCAGGGTGCAAGATAAAGATCCATGCCACAAGCTAGGCTGGGACTTCTAATTGGTTTTCCTCCCACTATAACTCCCATCCACCATCTGCTTCCCTTTTTCTCTCCTATGACACATCCCTCAGTCTCTTAGCAATACCCCTGGGATGCCAACCAGGAGCCAGGGAATTAACAAGAACAACTACCTCTTTCATTTTAATCTCCCCAACTTTTCACTTGCCTCAGATCCCGCTATGGGTCTGGATTCCAGACCTCTTCTTAGCCACTGAAATCAGCAACACATTTCCCATTGATTTCAATGGAACCAGGATTTCACCCATGATTTTTTAGATCAGATGGTTTCTAGAGTGCACCTGATCAAAGATACAGTTAAACTTTTAAGAAGTTATTTCAGTTTCATTATTAAAAGGGAAAAACAAACCTAAGGGTTCCTCCACTGAGTGGGTCAAGCATTGCTCATTGCTAGAGAATCCTTCTGCTACAACCAATTGCTTTCACAGTCTTTTGCAGGATCTGCCCCCAGGCTCAACAGTGATTATTTCACATGCTTCTTTCTTGATCAAAGTGAGACTCTGCCATAGATTTCACATGCTTCTTGATCAAAGTGAGACTCTGCCATAGCCTACAGTAACACAACTCTCTTTTGCCTCTTTCAAGACTCTAAGTCACATCAGGCTTAAACTGCTGTGAACCACAGTGTAGCATTATTTTAAAATCAGTGGATAAGTGAAACCTGCTCATTGAGAATTGCAAAGATAATGTCCCCTGTAGCTACTGCTAGTGTGTTTAGTAATTAGTCAGTAACAGCAAATATTCTCTTTGATATTGCAGGGGACAAAACAAAAATTAGCAGTTTTAACGGTGTCTGTAACCTGTTCCCTCCTGGCACATCCTGCTTTTTTGATGGGTACAGTCTGAAGATATGGCTAGAACAAAATCAGGTACATGTCAGAGGTTCAGGGATATATTTTTATTGTGATGCCCTAAGACTGTAACATTCATTAGCCACCATGATAACTATTTATCCTAAATATGTTCCTGAGCAGGGTTTCCTGAAACTACAGACGGTATGAAACAGTAATTAACTGTATGAGCAGTGATTAAAGTACGTATGAACTTCAGATGTTCACAGGTTCATTCCACATAATTGTAGAAGTCAAATACAAGAAGGAGGAAAAAGGCCTACTAGCTCATCCTATTCATCAATTCATCCTTATGACAACATATTCTAGTATCACAAATGCTTGGCTGGTTTTTCCAGTCTCCCTGAGTCTGCATAATTGGGCTCAAAGTCTTGCACAAACAGTTTTTCCTGCAAGATATCTACTACCTCCCATTTTTGAGAGCCCCAGAAAAGCTACAAAAATTATGCTCTTACAGCACTTTGGTTCATCTGCTTGTGGTCCCCAAAAGAATCCCAACTTTATTATTAAAAATAAAGTGCTTGGCTGGTTTTTCCAGTCTCCCTGAGTCTGCATAATTGGGCTCAAAGTCTTGCACAAACAGTTTTTCCTGCAAGATATCTACTACCTCCCATTTTTGAGAGCCCCAGAAAAGCTACAAAAATTATGCTCTTACAGCACTTTGGTTCATCTGCTTGTGGTCCCCAAAAGAATCCCAACTTTATTATTAAAAATAAAGTGTGGATTGGCTGTTATTTTAACAGAAACAGCTCATCTTTATAACATGATGAAAGCAGAAGGGTCAAAATGATGTTGATCTGTTGGATGGGAACAATTTTTGAGCAAGTGGAGAAGGCACGTGTAGGAGGCAGTGTGGTGGCACAAGCGCTGGACTGGGCATCAGGAAATGTAGGTTTTATTCCTGGCAGTGCCACTGGCTCTCCGGGTGACCTTAGGCTAGTCATGTTGCTGCTCAGTGCCTCAGTTTCCCCTCTCTAAAGTAGGTTTATGGTACTGACCTCCTTTTCACCCCACTTTAAAATCTACTGATAATAAGGGTTAGGTAGCAGTATTATAACCACTCTACAATGTGGGGAATATGTAGCTGCTGATGCTCTATTTAAATTACTGCAAAAGGTCTTTTTGAAAGCCCCCCAGAATGTTATCTCTGCAGAACACCAAAGGCCTTTGTAAATTAGATCCTGAACCGCCCTCCCCAAATCAGGATGGGTTCCAGTTCTAGCCAATTTTTAAAAAAATCTCCAGCTCACATCAAGTTTGGGGTAATACAATTTACCAGGTCTTAGCCTCATTTCCCCATTGCCATGTAACTGGACCCTACAGTTTGCTTACACACTCCATCCTATCTCACTTGTATATGAAACCTCCACTCCGGGTGCAGCAGAAAATTAGACCTTTCTACCACCTGTCTCCACTGCAAAGCTGCCTTCTTTGTGCTCAGCACAACTCGACCCTGGCAGCTGTTGGCCAATCCAAGGAACGACATTTCTTAAAGCACACAGGGAGGCTGTGTCTAGACTGGCAAGTTTTTCCGCAAAATCATCTGATTTTGGGGAAAAACTTGCCAGCTGTCTACACTGGCCATTTGAATTTCTGCAAGAACACTGACAATCTCATGTAAGATCGTCAGTGTTCTTGCGGAAATACTGTGCTGCTCCCGTTCGGGCAAAAGCCCTCTTGTGCAAATCATTTGCGCAAAAGGGCCAGTGTAAACAGTACAGTAGTGTTTTCCGCAAAAAAGCCCTGATTGTGAAAATGGCGATTGGGGCTTTTTTGCAGAAAACCGCGTCTAGATTGGCCACGGACGCTTTTCCGCAAAAAGTGCTTTTGAAGAAAAGCATCCTGCCAATCTAGACGTGCTTTTCCGAAAATGCTTTTAATGGAAAACTTTTCCGTTAAAGGCATTTTCGGAAAATCATGCCAGTGTAGACATAGCCGGAATGTCTACACTACAGAGTTTCATTGGAAAAACGGCTGTTTTTCCGACAAAACTTGAGGAACGTCCACACTGTAATTATGTTCTTCTGCAAGAAAATTGAAACAACAGAGCAGTTTTCGACATTGTTAATCCTCATTCAATGAGGAAGAAGCCCTTTTCTGAAAGAGCTCTTGAGGAAAAAGGCATGTGTGGACAGGGAAGAGGGAGTTCTTTCGGAAGAAGAGAAAAGAGGAAAAAGCACAGGTGCGCTGGTGGCCATTCCATCCATAGCAATCACAGTTTACATGTGAGAGAGCATCCATTCAGTGTGGATGATCTCATTAGAAAAAGCAGAGTGCTTTTTCAATGCACTTTTGCAGTGTGGACATGCTCTTTTGGAAGAAGTTTTTCTGGAAGATCTCTTCTGAAAAAAAGCTTCTTACAAAAGAAGCCTGCAGTCTAGACGAGGCCAGAGACGATCCAACCTTTCCACCAAGAAAGAAAAGGACATGTCTGATTTTGTTTATTGCTCTGGAGAACATGTGGCTGAACAGCTCATGCCCAGCAAAAAAGTGCTATCTGCAGGCTGTGTCATTCAATGCTATGTTTTCCCATCTTGATGAGAGGTAGCAGAATGGATGCACAGACTTGCCCAAGATAACAACACCCCCTTTTCTTTCTCCAGGGTGCTGTGGGGCCCTGTTTCTTACTGTGCATTGCTGATTTCCTTCCTGCTTTCCCTGCCATACCCATTCAATCCCTACATGCTGTTTCTTGCTTCCATTGCCTAATTTCCCCTGTTAAGCTCTCCACGTGTGTCAGATGGTGAACTATTTTTTTCCCTAAGCAAGTCAACACCAAAATTAGATCAGGTTAAATTTCTAAAATTGGACCATCTGTGCTAGCCACCAAAATAACCTTCCAAGGCAAAGCATTGTGTTTTGGATATGAAAACTGCTAACTGTCTCTTTTAATTACATTTGCTTTCCTCCATAAGACAAGATGAACATTTTACTAGCTCCCAGACCAGTCTTTATTGTATTATAGCATTGAAAGAAAAAGCCCCCAGCCACCATGTTCTTAATGTAAATCACAAGTGTGACATGTATATTTGTTCTCAATTTGGCAGAGATCCCAGCAGCACTGGAATCCCTTCAGACTTCCTCATGTTTCCACTGCACTAGTCCAGCTGTTACAGAGGTAGGGCCAAAAGCTGATCTCAGTCACATGCTTACAACCGCAGTGGCGCTACATCTGTGTAAGGAAGAGCAGCCCTGAGCCCCTGTGCGTTTCGAACAGGCCCCATTAACAGCCACATGCATTAGCGGAATTTCAAAATGGGATTTTTTCTGTGAAATGTTTTAAATGTAAAATAGCCTTGGTCTGGGCCAGACCAGCTCAGAGTGGGTCTATCTCAACAGATATCCTTCCTCAAGCAGAAGTCTGTATCTGAGATGTCAGCAGACTGCAAATTAGCTATAATGTCCTTGGTGAAGTACTGCCTCTGAGGCTGCATCTGTGGCGTCCTTCCCATTCCAAGCTAGAAATTATTTTACATTCTGAAACGTGAGGGCTGTGTCTACACTGGCATGAATTTCCGGAACTGCTTAAAACGGAATACTATTTTGTTTTCAGTTTTTCCGGAAAAGGAGTGTCTACATTGGCAGGCTGCTTTTCCAGAAAAGCCCTTTTTCCGGAAAAGCGTCTGTGGCCAATGTAGACGCGCTTTTCCGGAAAGCGGAACAGTGTTCCGGAATAAGGACTTATGCCCGAGTGGGAGCAGAATAGTTTTTCCAGACTAGCGGCTGATTTTGTACAGTAGAGCATCGTTGCTTTTCCGGAAATTCAAGGGCCAGTGTAGATAGCTCGCAGCTTATTCCGGAAAAGCGGCTGATTTTCCGGAATAAGTGGCCCAGTGTAGACACTGCCGAGGTGTTTAATGAGTGTAAAATGCTTTTGTAACATTTCATGAGATTGCAAACACAGGTTGAACCTCCCTAGTCCAGCACCCTGGGGACCCAACCGGTGCCGAACCAGAGAATTTTACAGACCACGAGTGGTCAATATTGTCTAGCAGCATTACTAACCCTTCCACTGCTTACTAGGCTGTTAGAGGAAAGTTAGGGGTAAATTAGAGCTAAATAACAGCACAGAACCCTGAGACCCAGGACTGGGGGCTGTAAACAGACTTTAGAGGACCACGGGAAACTTGGCCACACCCCCATAATAAGTGGACATCTGGCCAACTAAAATCATGCCGAACCACAGATGTTGCCGTACCACAGAGTGGTGGACTAAAGAGGTTCAACCTGTAAATATTTAATATAATCAGGCAGCCAAACGCAAAGCTCCAGTCAAAGACTGTAGACTTAGTTTCATTGCTATAAGATAAAACTTCTAGATATTTGGGGCCAGTTATTTACATGTGTTTCTATGTATTTTTGTAAATGTGACTCTTACTCTGAAAAATACTATGGAAAAATGACACCTTCTTCACCATCTCACTTGCTAAACGGTCTCCTTGTGAGAACTCATAAATAGATCTGCTGTCTTCTGTGACTAAAGAAGGTTTTACTGCTTTTTTAACTCCTATTAATACTGAACAACTAACAGGGACTTGGATTCGAATCCTACTCATCCACTCTCAAGCGGACTGGTTACTCATTCCCAGCCAGTCACACCTGTGTAACCTTACTGCTAGCACAGAGAACATAGTGTCACCTGCAGATCCTTTCGTTCTGGTGAGAAGGAAAGAACACCTCTTAGTTCCCAGCTTCCATAGCCAGGGTAAAATCTTACATAGAAACTGAATCTTCAGACTGGAAACCTTGCTCTGGATAGGAGCTAATACAAACAGAATAAAATGAAAATCACATCACATAACAGGATATGTATATACTGAGTCACATTTTGAAGGAGCGAGGCACTTTCAGTGAGCAAAGGGGACCTGCTCAGTGTAGCGTCCCTACCTCGAGCAGCTCTGTGTTGTTAAATGCTGCATTCTAAATCGTGGATTTTAATCATCAATAAAGTTTGTTAGGGTCAGAGGCCCACCCACAATAGACACTGAGGCTATGTCTAGACTCCAGGGCTGTATCTACACTGGCACCCTTTTCCGGAAATGCTTAAAACGGAACAGTTTTCCGTTATAAGTATTTCCGGAAAAAGAGCGTCTACATTGGCAGGATGCTTTTCCGGAAAAGCACTTTTTCCGGAAAAGCATCCGTGGCCAATGTAGACACACTTTTCCAGAAAAAAGCCCCGATCGTCATTTTCGCGATCGGGGCTTTTTTGCGGAAAAGACTACTGGGCTGTCTACACTGGCCCTTTTCCGGAATAGTTTTTCCGGAAAAGGACTTTTGCCCGAACGGGAGCAGCATAGTTTTTCCGGAAAAACACTGACAATTTTACAGTAGATCGTCATTGCTTTTCCGGAAAAGCAAGCGGCCAGTGTAAACAGCTGGCAAGTTATTCCGGAAAAGTGGCTGTTTTTCCGGAATAAGTGGCCCAGTATAGACACAGCCCAGGTGCCTTTCAGAAAAAGCTTTTCCGGAAAAGAACGTCCACACTGCAAAAGAGCATCAAAAAAGTGATCTGCTTTTTCAAAAGATAGTGTCCTCACTGAATGGACACTCTCTCACTTTAAGCTGTGATTATTATGGACAGAATGGCCACCAGGGCACCTGTGCTTTTTCCTCTTTCCTCTTCTTCTGAAAGAACTCCCTCTTCCCCGTCCACACACGCCTTTTTGTAGAATGAGGATTACCAATGTTGGAAAAACCCTTCTGTTCTTTCAGTTTTCTTGCAGAAGAACATGATTGCAGTATAGACGTTCCTCAGGTTTTGTTGGAAAAATGGCCGTTTTTCTGACAAAACTCTGTAGTGTAGACATACCCTAAGTCTGATAGGGAAAGTGAACTAATGGGGTACAAGTCAGTGGGAGGGAGAGACGGGGGTATCTATATAAAAGGGGTGCTCAGAGGAAATTGATGAGGGTATCTGAAGGTTGCCAGCGAGGAGAGTGCCAATGGAGGGCAGAGGTGGTGGAAGAGGAAGGAGGATGCCTCCATGTAAGAAGGAAGACAAGCCAGCAGGTGGAATTCCTTGGAGTCCAAATACACAGTAAGAGGCTCATTCTGGAAACTTAGGGAGTGTCTCATTACTCCATGGCAGTGACTTAGCTGCTGGAAGCACTTAGCTGCTGGAAGCACATGCTGATCATCAGGCATGTAAATGAGGAGTAGAGTCATTCACTGTTGACAGCTGCCAACCTCAAATTCCCCTTTCCTGCAGCTCTTCCTTGCTGACAACCCTCGCCCCTGCCCTGCACAACACATGCATAGCAGGCACCTTGTCACACATTCAGCACATCACATGCTTGCTCAAAGAGCTGGGTAGAACAGGCTGCTGACCTGGAGCTCCTGGGAACGCTCACTCCTCAAGGGAGAAGATGGAGAAGGCTTGGAGTAGGGAGCAGACGACAGGCCGACAGGCTGCGCGCTCAATTATAAAGACATTTGAAAGGGTGGGGCATAGAAATGGCAGGCTTCAAGGATCCTGTAGAGGGGACAGACAGGGTAGAAGGAGAGATCTACTGGGACTTCATACGGGACAGTGAGCCAGGTTGGTGTCTTTTTGGTCTACTATATATTGAGGTTTCAGAGAGGTAGCCGGGTTAGTCTGTTTCAGAAAAAACAACAAGGAGTCTGGTGGCACTTTAACACATTTATCAGGGTATTAGCGCATAAGCTTTTGTGAGTTGTAGCTCATGAAATTATATCCTCCAATAGCCTAATCAATGTGTTAGTATTTAAAATGCCACCGGACTCCTTGTTGTATACATTTGAGAGAGTCTGTCTGTCTGAGTGTCTGTCTGTTTGTTCAAGAACTCATAAACGGTAAGAGGCAGGACCATGAAATTTGGCATACAGCTTCCTCTTGTCATAACTTAAAGCAATATAAGGGTTTGGTTGTGCCAGGGAAATGGGATGTGGCTGGAATGGGATTGCTTCTCATAAAACCAAACAGAAAGAGACAGAATCACCACGCAGGTGAAAGGGGCTGGCTGGGGGGGTGCTCCCCTCCCATCCAGGACTGCCCCAGCCTTGAGTTTCCCCCACCTAAGTGCCATTTAGCTGAAGCTTTCCCTTCCCGCTCCCCCCTCCCCCCCCCGATTCGTACAGGAACATTGCTGGCTCTTCCCCTTCTTCGGGGAGTGAGGGGAAAGTGCACAGTTTGCTGTATTCCTCACCGTGGCTGGGGAGCACAGGGGACACAGGAAATGTGCACCTTGCTCTCACTCCCTGACAAGGACAGGAAGGCGGATGCCAGCCCCAGCACAGAGCCACCCAGGTAAGCCTTGAGCCCCAGTCCCTCACCCTACACTAAAGTCCAGTCCGTACACTCACACCCCCAGTCCAGAGCCTGTATCCCCCTCCTGCACACACATACCTGCCCAGCCCTGAGACCCTGAAGGACCTGAGCAATGCCAGGTCACTGCACTAGCAATACATACATAAAATGCATGCCTAAAATTTTCATGGTTATTGAAAGTACTTGATTTTACACATGGATGGTAGGCTATTCTAGTTCACAGAAGGGCTGGGAGCCTGCTGAGGTTACATGGAGAAGGCAGGCTTATGCCAGTTTATGTTGCTTCAAAGCCAAGATTAAGATTCAGCCTTGTTCTTATTTGATCAGAGCTTTGCTTTTCTCTCCTTGCGTTTTACTTCACACCAAAGCATAGCCGTGGATGCTGACTTGGCAAGTCAAGTGTGGGCAGATGGGAGGAAGACCTGGCAGTCGCACTCCACTCTGGCTGCCAACAAGCCAGCCTCAGATTGCAGCACAACGGGCAGTGGAGAAAGACCTCTCAGCATGTCTAAGTGATGGCACTTTACAAACCGCCTGGGAAGGGGGGTTAACAAGATGGCAAAACAAATGCTTAAAGTCATCATGGGGTCCTCTATTTGCCTTATTGTTTCAATCAATATTAGCTTCTATCTAATCTCTGTGTTATTGCATTGCAACGATTCCCAATGGGATTAGAAGGGGCGGGGGGGGGGGGGGGGACC